TTCCTCTTTGCTCCGCGATGTATTTTTTACTGTGTGAGAACATGTGTAGTGTGAAAGAGGCATGGCTTGTCAGACGTAGCAACAGTAACTAAGGAGGGCGGGTTTTTGCGAATGGTTGCTTGTGAAATTACAAGAAAAGATGATTTTCTTTCATTCATTCATGCATTCATACATACAGTACATATTGATAAGTTTTTTTAAATTCTGGTTGATGCTGATAAGCCGACAATTTATTAGACTGTATAAATAAACAAATAAATAATGAGACATAAATATGAATAATCTCACAATATTAACTGATAGGCTGATATTAAATTCTATACTGTGTAAGAAAGAAAGAGAGAGAAAAAGAGAGAAACAACAAGAAAACACAACTTCAATATTTATTAGGTGAAAAACAAGATTGTAGCTTACTAGCAGCAAGATACATTGATGCCTGTCACAAAAAAGTAGGGCTGGGCAAAAAAATATTGATTTTCCGATTAATCGTTTTTTTTTTTTAAATGAGGTAGATTCGATATCGATTCTCAAAAGCCGCGAATCGATCTTTTCCAGTATTTATTTCAGCACACATTTAAAACAAGATCTGATTAACGTGAATCTTATCATTAGTCTTCTCATCTAGTATGTCACCCTTATTTACCTTGCACGATGTTACAACAGAAAGCCTGTCATTCATTCAGTACTTATCATGGCCATACGCATGATTCGCAATGCTCAGGTGAAATGCTATAGTAATACTATAAATCTGCGGAAGCATTTGATATCACGCATAAGGCGCCATGATTTCCGCAATGAATGAATGGCGGATGGTGCGGTGCACTGTTTTGTTTACTACACGCATACTAAAGCGCGAATGACGCTCGCGGTCTTTTCAGCTTCTGCCGTCTCACAATATGATGATATGAACACGAATGTCATCTCCAGCTGCTCTGTGAGTCACTTCATTAGCATTTACCGTTTCATTTGAGAAATCTACCGTCATATCACATACACACCAGCTGGAAGTTCTTCACGGCAACCGTCAAAATAAAAGTTTAGTTTAACGTTCTACGGTCAGAATATTACTATTTAGCAGTCTTAAGACTCAATGCTACTACTGCTAATAAATATTAATAAATCTTTATTTTTAAAGGAGTAATCACATCTGTTTTCTTTTCAATTTTAACAGTAAACCTCTGTTGTGCAGCACTTTGTTTGCCAAAAAAATAAAAGGGTTTAATTTTCATTTGATTAGGATAAATTAAATTAATGTTTTATGCCTTCAGCTGATTACCAGAAAAATTAATAACATTTTATAGTGCCCTATTATTGTTTTAAAAAAAAACCTATACAAAAAAAAAGAGTAGGTTTAAAATACAGGCATGTTGTTCTTAATTTCTTTTTATTAATTCACTATTTGTTAACTGATGTTTACTGTTAATTTTTTAGAAATATCAATAGCATTTGTATTAAAACTATATTCACTGAATGTAATCAAAAAAATCGAGAATTGAATCGAATTGAGAGCTTGCGAATCAAAATCGAATCGAATCGGGACATCTGAATCGATACCCAGCCCTAAAAAAGAGGGAGGTTTCAACAAATCAGTGATGTGCCCACAAACACACACACCAGGGCTCTACGCTTACTTTTCTTTTTAGGAGCACAGTCAAAAATTTAGGAGCACCTTCTAATCAATAATCCAAAATTTGATAAAAAATTTGCCTTCCCATTACGAGATGATATTTGACTCCTTAAAGTGACTTGCAGTGAAATTTAGTTTTTACCTTTGTAATGGCATTTTTCTAACTTTATTAAAAGTGTCATCTTTTATGTCAAATTGTAAAAAAAAAAAAATTATTTTATAAGCTTTTTAAAAATTCTAATTAAAGCGACAGAATAAGAACAAATAGAATAAGATGAAATCAGTATTAACAAAATTAATTTGTACAGAGGTGGCACAGAAGAACACAAACGTGGCTTGTTGGTGTATTTTCAGACATTTAATGTGACTCAGAGGTGGCATGAGTGCAATTAAATCCATAATGCTTTAAATATAAAATGTTTAATATAGAAATATTAAATGATTTAAAGAACTGAAAAGATACTTTAAAAATGAAACTAAAACTGCCAGCAGGTGGCGGCAAGTCACTCATTTTATCACTGAATCATTCATTCAATTGATTCTTACGAACAGCTGATTCATTCAGGAATGAAGCAAGTGACTGTCTTTATGAATAGGTAATCATGAATCATTGACTAACTAGGTTCATTTACTTCATTTAAAATTATTTTAAGCATCTAGAAAATGAATAAATCTTAAGTCACCACTGTACACTTGAACCAGTCATTTAACTCCAGGTTATTTTATAAACGATTGACTTTGTAATAAGCGTCCTTAAAGTTGCTTTGAATAAGCACCTCACTTAAATGTCAAAGCAACAAAGTTCAGAGTCATTACAAAAAAATCACCATAATTGACCCCATCCTCCTTAAGCCCAAAACACACCGCACGATTTCAGCAATCTATAATAAGCAATCAGCTATAAGATCACTGCATGTCACACTGTGCGACATGGATGTAATAAACTTGGCTACGATGTGTGTAGACTGTACGATGATGACACCTATTGACTCGAAGGCTATGACGCACGTTACTATAGTAGAATAAAATGTCATCAGCATGCGCTAGTGATAAGCAAAAAGAGCATGATAAATCACACTTTAGCAGTTGTATTTTTTTATGTGCGCTGAAAAAAAAGTGGAAGCGGCGAAAGAGGCAGGGATAAGAGCTTGAGGTAAGCAGTTTTATGTTTTAGCGCCATGTCACGTTGATTTCATGTCGCGTTTTTATTGGTTGATCAGTAAACGTGTATCGTACCAGCAAACACACTGTGAGATGATCGCACTGTATGGTAGGCTATCTTTGGTCGCAAGACCGTGACAACGGCCATCTTTGAACCTCTCTCACTGTACGACGTAGGATCACTGATTAGGAGCCACGATCACCGATATCGCCACGATTGTTTCATGATGCCAATCTTTCGTCTGGGACAGCCGAAAATCGTGCAGTGTGTTTAGAGCTTCAGTTACTGTTGCTATGTCCGACAAGCCATGCCTCTCTCACACTACACACCATGTTCTCACGCAGTAAAAAATACATCGCAGAGCAAAGAAATTCAGACAATAAATACCGTTTTGTGTCTCTGTAATGTGCCGTTACAGATCGCTGTATTGCCTCAGTTCAAGCGGCACGTGAACCGATCGTCTTTTCATATTTTCTTAAAGCGGAAAGACATCAATGCACACTTTTTCACGTTTAAGTCCACCGAAGTTAATCTACTCTCCTGTCTGATTTGTTTGTCGGACAAGATGACAGATTCATCGTTATTATTGGTCAGATCGCCTGTCAATCAAGCTCTTTGCTAACGGTCAATTCTGCTCAGTATTAACTTCTTTAGGACCCATAAGCACTTGTTCATTCACACAGTATATGCTAATCGGTTTCAGCACACTTGTATTAATGTATTAATCACAGTTTTAAAGTGCTCTCTCTGTTTAGCAAACAGCTAACAGTGTTCAGTGCCTGCTTAAACAGTCCAGATGACGTTACGGTGTAGCAAGCAGGTCAACATGGCCGCCGTTGAAAGCAAGTATTGTGTGTACGTAACACCCCGTCACCGGACGCTCCACCAAGAGCCGTCAACTCGAACACATTCCCAATCGGCCCCGTTCCCCAGCATTCCCTAAGGAAACTGTATCTCCTGTAGCCACGCAGAGATGTGAGGGCTACTGTTAGCGGCGTCTGAAAAAGATTGACTGTTTGGGCACTAAGTGCTCGCTGTTGACACAAGCCTCTCTTTCATATGCAGCGGAGCACAGAGCGCTCGGGCTAAGTACACAGTTTGTGTTAAAGGTTGGTCCGCCCGTACTGAGAATTTCATCCGTCGAGCTCTCACCCGCAGAGTGGCTCGGGATTTTTGAAACGGAAAAACGCAAACACTCGAAAGGAGTCAAGAACAGGTTGGCAATTTTGAAAATAACATGATGAATCAGCTGCTCGATTGTTCAGAAGAGATCAGAGCGCCCAATAAAAAAAAGTCCTGCATTCTGATGGATGACAAGTGTCCGAATTTGTGTCCCTTTTGTGTGTCTCTTGTTATCTTTGCTTCTCTTTAATGTGGTCTATACCAAAACTTGAAATATTGTTTTAATGGAAAAAAATCAAATAAATTACAACATGTTAATTCACTCCTCGCTCTGACCAAAGGTTTGAGCTCATTTGACTCATGTCTACATGGACTAATCAAAAAGCTTGCTCGTTGCTAACCCTCATCCTACCCAGAAAACGCAAGTTAATTCTACTGTCAAAATGACCAAAATGCACATTTCTAGTGTTCATTTTCAGTAGCCAGAATCTGAAACATTGGCAATAGCAGAGATCTTCCTCTGTTTTTTTTTTTTTTTTTTTTTTTTAGAATTGCATTTAAATTTTTTTTTTTTTTTTTTTTTTTCAGAATTGCATTTAAAGCTGGAAGGCCTGCATTCATCAAAATTTGAGTATGGCAGTTGCTTATTGGGAAAACCTCCAACATATCACCAAGTCTAGGAAAAATCCACCCTGAAAAGCGCAAAACGGTTCCAATAACATCTGCATCTTCCCTACAGGTGTGGCCCCCACACTAGGGAAGTAAGCTCACCTGCAAGCGGAATGCATGTAATTCAAAAACCTTGGGTGGTGTCGCGCTCCAGACATGACAGACGCCTTCTAAATTATGAGTTTTGAATGTTGCAGTAAGCCTTCGAGATTTTATTTGCTGCTTTTTATACAGTACACTTGAATCCACTCTTGATTACAAAATTCCCTGTGTTTAGAAAGCCGCATCTGTTTTGGCCGGATTTTTCTGGTCTTGGCATTGAAACGGCAGCGCTGGTCCGCCCCCCGGATGCCCAGCTGATCCTGCGACACAGGTTTTCTGAATAATGCGATTGACCGCCATAAATTGCTTCTGTTCCAGGCTTCATCGCAGCAGCTGAAGTTCACAACGTCAGACTCGTGCGACCGCATCAAGGACGAGTTCCAGTTCCTTCAAGCACAATACCACAGGTACACACACACACACATTTTCAGTGCCTTAAAGGGATACTCCACCCCAAAATGAAAATGTTGTCATTAATCACTTACCCCCATGTCGTTCCAAACCCCTAAAAGCTTCGTTTGTCTTCGGAACACAATTTAAGATATTTTGGATGAAAACCGGGAGGCTTGTGACTGTCCGATTGACTGCCAAGTAAATAACACTGTCAAGGTCCAGAAAAGTATGAAAGACTTTGTCAGAATAGTCCATCTGCCATCAGTGCTTCAATATGAATTTTATGAAGCGACGAGAATAATTTTTGTACTCGAAGAAAACTAAAATAACGACTTTATTCAACAATTAGTCTCCTCTGTGTCTCTCCACATCACCGTAGCAAGGAGACGAATTGGTGAATAAAGTCGTTATTTTTGTTTTCTTCGCGTCGCTTCATAACGTTACAGTTGAAGCACTGATGGCAGATGGACTATTTTGACAATGTCCTTCATATTTTTCTGGACCTTGACAGTGTAGTTTACTTGGCAGTCAATGGGACAGTCACAAGCCTCCCGGTTTTCATCCAAAATACCTTAAATTGTGTTCTGAAGACGAACGAAGCTTTTAGGGGTTTGGAACGACATGGGGGGGTAAGTGATTAATGACAAAATTTTCATTTTGGAGTGGAGTATCCCTTTAAAGCAATAGTTCACCTAAAAATCACAGTCTGTCATTTATTCACCCTCATTGTTTTAAACTTAATGTTCTTTCTTTGGCAGTGTTATTTTTGTATTGTTTATATACCGTTATGGTATTTATTAATATATAAAATTAGCTTTTGGTTTTTATATTTCCAGTTTTCATTTTAATTGTAGTTTTATTAATTTTGCTATATGCTTTTGTCAGATTTGTTTATTTATTTATATTTGTCTTAAATTTATTTTAATTAAAGTTTTAGTTTTAGCATTTTTAGAATTTCGACTTAAATGTAATATAAAAAATAGAAGCATTGCTTTTAAAACTGAAATTGAAGTTTTTCATCTAATATTTTTCATTTACTGAAATGTTTAAAGTTTTGGTTAACAACAATAACGGTGTTCTGTGGAACACAAAAGATGTTTTGAAGAATGTGCTGGTTGCTCTTTTACAAAAGCTTCAAAAGGACTCAAAAGCAACATAAAATTGGTTCATATGAATAGTTTACTCAATAGTTTAATAGTTTATTCAAACTTTTCTGAAATCATGTGATGGTTTTGTGCAAGGAACAGACAAAAATTTTAGTCATTTTTCAAAGATAACCTTGACTTAATTTTTTTTTCTTTGCGTTCATGAGAAAAATAGTTGATGTCTGGTTTGTGAATGAATCATTATTTTGAGTCAGATCTTTTCAGTGAATTGGTTGATTTGGTTGAAAAACAGTCTGAATGATTTTTTTCACAAATATGTGTAACGAATCAGCTCATGGGAAATATGAATAATTAATCATAACTAGTTATAATTAATTATGAATATTTTAGATCCACTGTAGATATTTAGCTGACCTCTCAGGGTCAACTGTCTTGTCAATTCTAAGAACGTTAATTTCCTGGTTAAAGGAAATAACTTTCTTACTGTACAATTCTACAAAAGCTTGTAGCATAAATCTGCATGATTAAGTGACTCCAGTTATGAGCAAACAATGAACCACGTCAAGTCTGATACAAGTAAGGTTTTATTAACTACATAAACACTTAAACTAGTCTAACATACTACATAAACACAAAACTGGTCTAACATCCTACATAAACACATAAACTTGTCTAACATACACATACACACACACACACACACACACAGTTTTATAGGAAAGGGTTAAAAGCTTAACGCAGTAAAGAGAAGAGAAATAAGAATATGACGTTATAGAACCATTTGCATATTCAGCAGATCTGCCCGAGGGAGACATCAGATTCTTAGTTCAAACACACCTTTGTAAAAAGGTGCAAATGATACCTAATTAATAAGACTAAGTTTGATACTTGCATGTCTCATCTGTCTGAAAGAGAGGTTTGATGTAATCTGAAGTTTCCAGTTGATCTTTGCTGAAGTTGGTCAATGAAAAGAACCAGTTTTGAGTCAGAGGATCTTGATGAATGGAAAGGACAAGGCCGAAGCCTGGCACAAGCTTAGGGTTTCCAGGGGAGCGTTTTTCTCACACCCTCTCAGACTTCAAACAAACCACCGACTCGGACTAACACACTTCAGGATGACAGGTGACACAGCCTTGATACCTGCTGCATAAGCTCGAGGACCCGCACCTTGCTACAGCCTACATCACCACAGCACACCACCTGACAGCATCCACCACGGCACCACAACCACTCCTGGAGGCACCCAGATTCAGTTCAGTTGAATTCACTCAGTGACCCGGCCATTCAGTTGGAATTGCAATGTCCCATAATTCATGAGTATTTTTGTGTGATTCATTAATACAACAATTAATAGAGTCATTTGTTCTGGAATCTAATTATAGTAGAAAAGAGCAACCAGCACATTACGAGTCGGAAAGTAATGACTCGTGATTCAGTGAGTGAGTTAGATGATAATTCAGTTACTACTCCGATTCAGTGAGTTCATTCTGTGAAGGAATCACCCGATTAATTCTAACCCATAACTCATGAGTCTTCTTGTATGATTCAATAAAACTCATGTGTAGGGCTGGGTATCGAGTTCGATACCTTTTAGGCACCGACTGAATTGCCTCGATACCATCGAGTATCGAAAAACGTCTCGTCGTTCGGTACCAAATTTCGATACCTAAGGGGTTAATCTTATCAGCGTCAGTGAGCCAACAAGCCTGCAACACACGACAGATCGATCAGTGTTTGACATCCGCGAGAGCGATTCGAAAGCACACGTAGCAGTCTGCTCTCGTGGTACTGTAATACACCGATCGGTCTGCACAGTCGGTCCGCGTCAAGTGGAACACACCTACTAGTTTACACCGGGTACACTCGGAGATGTGGCGCACACGTGAGGCTGTAGTGTGAATGCGTCCCAGCCCCCTTAGATGTAAGGCTACATTTACACTGGTGCGTTTATGTTTTAAAATGAAAACGATCCTCGTCATACTGGCGTTTCCACTGCGTTTCAAGCCGGCTTTCCACTATCTCCGACAAGTGACAGACCGGTCATTCAGTCATTCATTTCCAATGGAGAGTAGCGGGGGAGCTGCATGAAGTTCTGATCATATGCAGATGTTTGTTCACGTTACACAACCGAAAGCGCGTGTTATGTGATCATTCATGCAAACTGTAGCATCATGCTACATAAGACAATAAATAAGATTTATATTCTGCTTTTACTCAAAACTCACTTTAAACCACCATCGAGTGTTTGTAATAACTTCCAATTGCCGTCTAATGTGTGTTTTGGCCATGTAATGTTGCTGAAATTAAATATGTCATTACTTCTGCTCTGACTCTGAGTCAGAAAAGAGAACACAGACAGACAGTGCTGGAAGCTGCTAATGCTCATCAGTAAATCAGTGGAAAATAAATAGAAATCATGATTCTGAGCCATGCATTTTAAAACGAGCACACACTAGTGTAAATGTAGCCTAACGGATGTGTAAACTGAAGACTATTTGAGCTTTATTAAAACTATTTGCACTGATTTATTCTGTTGGTTACATTTTGTTCCTTTGTGCAGTGGCTCAGGAGATGAGTCTTTGAGTTTGTATAAACATCAACAAGCTGAAAAATAAAACCTTGTTAAAATTGATTTCATAAAACTGGTATCGAAAAAAGTATCGTTCAGGAACCGGTATCGAAGCCAAGGTATCGGTATCGATATTGAAAATTTTTGAACGATACCCAGCCCTACTCATGTGTTCTTGAATTCGACTATAGTAGAAAAGAGCAAACAGAAAGTTACACATTCGAAAGTAATGACTCGTGATTTATTAAGTCAAATGTTAATCAGAATCATCAGATTGATTCAGACTTGTGAGTCTTCTTGTGCGATCCCTTAAAAGAATCAGTTCATAAGAGTAATTTGCTCTGGAATCAGACTACACTATAAAAGAGCGACCAGCACATTATCAAACATTTTCATTTTGTGTTCCACAGACGAAAGACAGCCATACGAGTTCAGAACCACATTTATTTTCGAACTGCTTCTTTAAGGAGGTCCTCTACAAACCAGTGTGACTAAACTCACTATTAGCAGGCTTTTTTTTTTCTAACAAGCTTCCCTAGTGCCTCATTCCCTTGCCGATTAACACGGAGCAGCTACTGTGATCTGGTCCGTCTGATGCCTTGACTCCTATAGACGGAGGCGGAAGACTCTTTTAAAGACACAAAGACGCTGCTACTGTCCCGTCTTTAAGGCAACATGTCTTTCCCTCCATATTCCCATGACAACAAGCAAACCCTCATTTAACCCTGGTTCACAGAAGAATAGGCCCTACGTTTTTCTGTGTGTGTATTCAGAGCATAGATTCGCCGCCATTGACTTCAATTGAGATTCAAAAGACGAGGGCTTTTTTTGGTGCTGCGTTCAGCCTTTTAAAGGAAATGTACTGCAGGCGGTCCCCAGAGCCTCGCCGAGCTGTCGCTCCCTTCTACAAATGCATAAATAGATCAGGGAATACATAAATCAAAATAAGGATGACAGCAGGAGCGATTTGGAGGCAGAAAGAAGCGGCAATAAAACTCCCATCAACGTGTGGTTTTTTTGGCGTGTTTTTTTTTTTTCTTTCTCCGAGAGCATCCTTGGAATCTTCAGGAGGCCTTGGCCAATCAGTAGCTGGCATGGCCATTCACAGGTAGCCTGGCAGCAGGGAGGATGGTCACCATGACAACCCCCAATATATGTTACACAGTCATAACAGCCCAGGTTTTTTCCCCCCTTTTTTTGGGATAAGTGGAAGCAGCAGACTGGAGAGGTATGAAGAGACAGAATGCTTGTCATACGGTGACAAAACAAGAACCTCTAGTATGTTGTGGCACTTTTTTTTTTTTAAATATAGATCAGATACTTTTTCTTGGATTGTTATCACTGGACATTTTCCCATTCGATGCTCTTTTTCCATATGGAAAACTTCCAACTTCTTTTTGGATTTCCCTACATACTGAAAAAGCATAATCAAGTTTTTGTTTTCTTTGGGAACAAAAGAGAATGTGGCTTGAAAGGCTAATGGTTTGCACACATGCTGAAGACACGATTAGCTGTGGTGCTCATATGGGAAATTCTGGTTCGATTCCAGTCGTTGTATGAAAATCCAGTCCCGACACTTTTTCTTAAATATAATAGATGAGCATATATATATATATATATATATATATATATATATATATAAAAAAAAAAGCCAATATTCTGTTCAATTTTATTCAATTAATTCATCACACAAATATTTGACCGATTAAATATTCTCCAAGCACTTTTATTTCTCCAGGTAAATTTGTATTTTATTTTTATTATTTTACTTTATTTTATTATTTTAGAGATTCTTAAATGTGTCTGATTTTGGGTCCTGATTTGGGTGATTTACAGTGGTGTAAAATACTATTATCTTACTTGAGTGAAATAAAAAATATAATAATACTCAAGTACAGCAATCAATTTAAATGGCCAATATTCTCTTAAACTTTATTCAATTAATTTTATCACACAAATCTTTGACTGACTTAATGTTCTCTAAAATAATTTACCTAGAGAAAAAAAAAAGGTTTCCTATTTTATTTTATTTGTTAGTGTATCAATTCTTAAATGTGGCTGATTTAGTACAGTACTTTTACTTTTTAATACTCAAATACAATTTAAAGTTGTACTTTTACTCCGAACGAATATTCTACTCAAGTATATTTTTGAGTGCTTTTTACACCCCTGTTGATTTATTACAAAATTAATCGACAGACTAAATGTTCTGTAATTTTGCTAAGGTCCACCATTTGACTTTCTTCAAACTGTGCCACCTAAAATCATCACACAAGAAAAAACCCAAACATGCAAAATGATTGACAGCCAGATGGCTTTTTTGATTGGCTAATTACTTGATTGGCTAAAAATCGGCAGAGGTGGGGGCAAATCACACATGTTCAAGTCTCAAGTCCCTGCCATCAAGTCTCAAGCAAGTCTCAAGTCACAGTACAAACAAATCAAGCAAGTCAAGTCCTGCTAAGGATCAAGTCAAGCCAAGGCACAGTATCAAACAGGAACAAATATTTTTTTGCCACACGACCTTATTCATTTTCCCTCAGAAATTAACTTTCTTAATTATACATTTTAAATAATAACGTTTTAAGTATAACATTTTGAATATAGGCAAAATACTACTTTGTATACCACTAAAGTCTGTAATTGAGAAAATATTTATAAAAATACAAGATAAAAATATGTATCTCATATTTATGTTATATTGAGTTTGACCATCCTAGGAGACAGATAATATTTAACAGATGTTGGAAAATTATTTTGCACTAAATCTATCCAGCGAAGACTGGGATTCAGTCTGGGAGTATGCTAAATAATATGCTATGCTGACTACAAATCACCCCTTATATCAGAAATAAAATGGACCCAAAATTTTCATCGGATATAGATTCCCTATTTGGATTTTCTTTCACTTTGCATGACATTATTCCATGCCTACATTGTTCTTGAAAACTATTGTCATGGCTCAAAACAAGAAGCCTATTGCTGTTAATGTGTATGTATCTTCCCCTGTAGCTTATTGATTTCTTAGATTTTTTTATAATAAGAACTAAATTGACAGCTATGCATTTAAGGCTATGTTAGGCCTACTCTATGGCATTAATGCCGCCAGTAAGTGGTGGCAAGTCACTGCTTTATCACAGAAGCGTTCATTGAACTGATTCATTCTAAACAGTTGATTCGTTCATGAACAAGCAAGAATGGGCCACTCAATCACTCAACCAGTTCGTTCAAATCCCTGGATTCGTTCAGTATTCAGTAGTGCTGTGTTCAAAATATTGAAACGACGATGTATCGTCACAGAGATTTGACGATACGAGTATCGATACAGCTGGCCCTGTATCGATATTGTGGCACGTGTGCAGCAGTGGACCACGCTTAATTTTACAACGTTTAAAATTGAGTAGAAAAGTGCTAGAGGTTTCTAAAAAAGAATGAATAGAGCATCTGTTAATAATCTGGCCGCAGAGGAACACAACTGGGTTGCCTGATATAAAGAGACGTAATCCCCAATACGGAAATACTGTATCTGCTAAATGTGCTACTTATCTTTGTCAACCTGGCAACCCTGTGCACCCTCTCTCTCCACTGAGGATAAACGTACTTGCTTCCTGAAAACACTGGTTAGCTTGCAGTTTAGCTATCTCCACTTCAAGTCTATTCTCAGAAAAGTGTAATTCATCAACTGTTCATTTACGACACAGAGAGAGAGAGAAAGAGGCTGTGTATGTATGAATTACCACCGTTTTGCCACGTTTCTCTATTAACAGTAAAGCTGTGGCTTTAATTCCTTTAAAAACAATGATGCTACCAGCTCCTTGTTGAGAAAGATAATGTAGCTCTAGAGCGATTAAGCTATTTAGTTGATAAAACTGCGGGGCAGTGCTAAAAAGTTTGTTCCTGGATGTCTTGAGTTCGGCCGCAACGTGATCGGTGTGTGTGACTGAACTTAACATCAAACTGCTTCTGTTCGGCTAGAGTCGTTTTGAACTCGGTCATCTTCGGAAGCGGAGCTGCGCGGAAAGTTACAAAAAATGTTGTGCGCGTGAAATGACGTCACGTGCACTCAAAGTGAACTTGCGGACGTGTCGAGTATAAATCAGCCTTGAGCATGTGTGCGTTAGATACAGTGAAGACAGCGCGTTAGTTTTAACACTTTTTAAAAAAAACATATTTTTTTTATTGTAGAGAGTGTGTTAATTTGTGCGATGATAACCTACCAGCAATGTAAATGATTTTTTCAACATATTAGAATGAGTACATTACAATATAAATGTATTAGAACGAGTACATTATTATTTATATGCTTAAAGATACAAACAATCAGAATATTGTACCTGGTGGGAGTGCACAATGTAAACATGAAACATATGCCATTACCTATATTGTACTGTGGTACAGTTATGGAGGCCCTTCATAATGCAGAGGTCAGCTGCCTGCTCTGCCAATAGTTAGAAATGGCACTATAGTAAGCAGTGTTTAATAAACAGCTGTTTTTCTAAATTCTGCTGAGGTGAAATTCAGTGCAGTCATGTATCGTGATACGTATCGTATCGTGGCCTCTGTATCGTGATACGTATCGTGACTTTGCTGGTGATACACAGCCCTAGTATTCAGTGTGTTGCTTAGAGACGCGCGTATTTCTTTAGCTGTGGGCTGAACGGAACTGGCAGCCGCGCTGAAAATATTACTAAATATCGTATGTTATAAATATAAATCTCATACTAAGGCCATTTTGATAACATATCTTGGATTTTGGGTGCAAAAGAAACATCACTAATCGATAAAACACTGTGGTTTCCGTGGTACAATTCCATATATTGATTTACAAAGAGGGATGCTTGACACTAAAGCACCGTTTTGAGAGGCAAACGCCAGCGAATTTAAAGTTTGACATCGTTAATTATAAACACGAGATTAATCATTTATAATCACTTTAATTTAATGACAGACTTAAGCTGAATTTTAAGACCAATGCTGTTTTCAAGTAACGAACAAGCTTACATACCTTTCCTTTCTGAAGTGCCGACGTCCTGGCTTTGTAAATGCATACAGCAAATGCATACAGTTTCGAAGTGTTTATCCAAACATCTCGGGAGATTCTCTTGCTCCCTGTATTTGGCGCGCTGTGTTCCTGACTGTGCTCGTGCAGTGTCATGAACTTCGCAGACTCGGATCACTTCTGCCGCTGGTTCAGTGGCTTGCGTTTTGTTTACCAAATTATGTCGCAATGATTTATAATAATAATTAGAGTTGTTATAAAGTCAAGTCCTGCCGAGTCATGAAGGTCAAGTCTCAAGTCACTGGATCTCAAGTCCAAGTCAAGTCATTTTCTTTATTTAGTCAAGCAAGTCACAAGTCCTTAAATTTGCGACTCGAGTCAAGTCATGTGACTCGATTCCCCCACCTCTGAAAATCGGTGACCCTTATTTGCTGTTTTCAGAGCCTATAGATGTGATGCATAATAAAGACATTTTTGTATGGTTTTCCTAAAATAAACAGTTTATTAACATTTAAATTCCTCTCCCTATTTACGGAATAGAATATGAAGAAGCCAAAAGAAAAATCTTTAAAAAAAATGTCTGAAGCATTCTGAACTGCATTCTGAACCGGCCTCGGTTGCATAATATATGTCTAGTGTCTACATTTTTTTTCATTGACCAGTCTTTCTTTTCTCTTTCCAGTCTGAAGCTCGAATGTGACAAGTTGGCCAGTGAGAAGTCAGAAATGCAACGTCATTATATCATGGTAAGTCTGCACAGAACGCACTCTCCTCCAGAAGGATGTGCCTTAGGCTAGATGTGCCAGAACATATTCACATCCGCAAGAAACTAACCTAGCCCTTACCTGTCTGATTCCATTGTGTCTTATTCTCTGTCTGCCTCTGCGCTGTCTTTTCTGCTGCTTTATTACCATTCTGTACCTCCTGTCCACTCAGAGGCATCATGCACATATTTTTTTGAGGGGACATCAGTGGCATAGCTGGGCTCACTTGGTACTCTAGTGACTTAAAGGAAGTTATATTTTCTTTACTTACCTGTTTATTTATTTACTTAAAATGTGGTGGTCCTTTATATATTTTATTACTATATTTAGTATATTTGCTTATTTACAAACAACTTCGTGGTTCTTATTATGCCTGTATTTGTTCTTTTTGTTTTTCCAGTTTAGTATTATATTATATTATATTAGGCGCTTTCGCATCGCGTAGTTCTAGGAACTAGCCAGCAGGGTTGTTCCTAGAGAACCAATTTTTCCCTCGGGCCGTTTTCCTGGTTGCATTCGCACCGGCAGCAGGAACTCTGAAGTGGCCGACAGTGACATCTTTATTCACGGCATTTACAAACATCAACAACCGGTGAATGGAGGATGCCGTGTTCTGAGCTGTTTTTGTTGTGTGTGTGTTGTGCCGTGTCATAGGTTTCATGATAACGGAGATGGAATGTAAATGCACATTTTACGCAATAGAAAGTGTGTGAAAATCTGACTAAATCTCCTTGTATCACTGAGAAAAGAACACAACACTGCAGACAACAGGTAAATGCCGTTATCGGTGTTTTCCATGTTCGTGGAGTAAATATTTTTACACAGCTTTTTAAAAATATTTTGTATGCGTTTGGCAAATCAGCGTACACTGTGCCACTGATAGTTCCTATAGAATGGTTTTTGACCCTACTCTGAAGTAGGAGCTAAATTGGTTCCCCCAAATGGAGTTCCTAGAACTAAATACATTCCTAGTTCCTGCGGTGCCAAGACGGCAAAAAGCGGGAACTTCCGACAGTAGTTCTAAAAACTATTAAAAGGTTCCTCCGGTGCGAAAGCCCCTATTATATTATATTTAGTGCTGTCAAACGATTCATCGCGATTAATCACATCCAGAATAAAAGTTTTTGTTTACATAATGTGTGTATATTTATGTTTGTTTAATATATACACAATACACAAACATATATTATGTAAACAAAAGCTATTATTTTGGATGCGATTAATCGCGATTAATTGTTTGACAGCACTAACCGACAGGCGAGACAGAGCAGGTTACGTCTGGTATAAAACAAGGTCTCAGCTTTAAAATTTTGTCGTCTTTTAAGAAATTAAAAAAATAAATACTGTTTTGTGTCTCTGTAATTTGTCATAACAGATCGCTGTATTGCCTCAGTTTAAGGGGCACATGAACCGATCGTCTTTTCATATTTAATTAAAGCATGAAATAAACATGAATGAACATCATAACGTATTTTATTTCAACCGCAGAAAGACGTCAATACACACAATTTTTCAAGTTTAAGTCCACCGAAGTTAATCTACTCCTATCTAATTTGTTTGTTGGGCAAGATGGCGATTCGGCGTTATGATTGGTCAGATCATCTGTCAATCAAGCTCTTTGTGAACGGTCAATTATATTGTTAATTTTGCTTTATTTTATTTATTTATTTATAACTTGGCAGTTATTATATTATTTATTTTTCTCAGTTTAGTGGTTCCTGTGTCACAGTTCTTATAGTCTTATTATTTTCTTTATTATATTTACAAACATCTTAGTGGATCTTATTATATTTATTTTATGTATTTATTTACAAACAACTTATCTTTAAATATATATTATACTTTTTTTCAGTTTAGTGTCTGTTATGTGGTATTATATTTCAGCTTTATTTTAATTTTTTTATTAAAAACTTTGAGATTATTATTATTATTATTATTATTAAATTGTTATATATTTATTAGTTTTTTGTTTTTTGTTCTTATATTATATTATATTATTTTACAATTTGGTGGCTCTTTTATATTTAATTTTTATTTGATTTATTTATTTACAAACAACTTAGTTTTTATATATAATATATAATTTTATATATAATGTAAATATAATATGACATTATAAAATATTATATTGTTGTTATTTTATTTACTTGTTTTTTTGTTTATTCATTTACTTCAATAAATATTTCACTTCAGTAAATGTTTCAGTAATTATTTTACTTTCAATAACTGCGTAACTTACTTTTCTAGAATGCAAGTACATTTTTTTAAGAAGCTGCATTCAAAATCCATTTGCCTTAAAAAATCTATCAGTTTAAATTTGGCCATGATGCTTCTGGCTCCATCTTGTATGATTTGACTTCTTCTCCTTCCTAGTTGTCCACCCCCATCTCTTCCTTTTCCACCTTGTCTGCCATTCTTTCTTTTGTCTGTATACTCACTCTGCTCTCTCTTCTCCTCCATCCCCCCGACGATACTCCCTCCCCTCCTCTCTAACCTCATTGTCTCCAGCCCGGGCCTCGTATTACCGTCTGATATTCCGCCTCTAATTGATCCGTCAAGCAGCTTAATCTCATTTAATCTGTGCGCCGTTGCTCTCACGCGCATCAGCCAGAGCGCCCTCCCTCCCTCTAATATCGGGTTCCCCCGCTCTGTCCGCACCCGCTGGAAGATGGGGAGGGTGGGCGTCCGCTTTGCGTGGGTGGTAATTGCTTTAGGGACCTACTGCTGCTTGGCAGAGCCGACCCTGATCCAACTCTGACTCCATCACTGGTGCTCTCTGCTCTTGTTTAGCGGCTGAGGTTGTGTTGCGCTGCTCGTAGACGTGTGGATGATGAGCGAGGCTAACACTTCAGCACGCACTGCGCACCAGTACGCCCGCACATGTTACGCTGAGGTCCTAGATGTTCAGTTCTGTGTATTAGAGCTGCAGTGCAGCGTGTTCATGTCTGACTGGCTTTATTTTTTTGCAGTACTATGAGATGTCCTATGGGCTGAACATCGAAATGCACAAGCAGGTGAGTTTGTCTAATCTGACGAATTACACACATCCCTGAGAGGCAGTTTACACGCTCAGATCATCTTCATTGCTTTTGCTCAACATTATTGAATGCTGGTGCTTCAGTTGAGACTGGCTATACACAGAAGTGTCAGTGGGGTGCCAAATTATGCCTTAACAATTCATGAAAATTGGTTTATTCATGGCTAGCTTTTTGAGTACACTTTCTAGGCCATGATAGCTGGGATATTTGATTGACTGGTCCACTGGTCCACACTAAAATATATGTACGTACGTACGATCTGCAAGAATCGGCTAAAAAACATCTCTTCCATCTTTATTTGACCCTCTAACTCTAGCACTCTCTATTCTAATTCTGTTCTTAAAAAAAAAAAAACTTGCCCCTTTTAAACTTGCACTCTATTCATTTACTAACTGCTTGCTATCTCAAAAATAAAATAACACTAGCTTCTCTATTTTTTTTTGTATTCCATCGATTTCTTTTCTTTTTATTTATTATACAATTAACAAAAGCAAAAAAGGCCTCTAACACTAGCTTGCTCTATTCTTTTTCTATTCTATCTATTTTCTTTTTATTATATAATAAAAAACACCCTTGCTACGTGTACTGCGTTGAACTGAGACTTGTTATAGCACTTGCATTTCATTGCTCTTTTGTTGAGTTTGATTCCTTCTATTGTCCTCATTTGTAAGTCGCTTTGGATAAAAGCATCTGTTAAATGTAAATATATATATATATATATATATTCCATAGGAAGTAGCCTTTTTCACCTGTGTATATATATATATATATATATATATATGTATGTATGTATAAATATGTATATATATATGTGTATATGTGTGTATCAGTATCAAAGAATCTTGGGAAAATATAGTATATAAACCTATATATCTTTAATCAGTAATGATGTGTTAAAATGATTCAGAAGCTTTACTAAATAAAACTAATAAATAAAAAACAAGCTCAAAATTCATTACTAAACAAAAGATTTAAAAAAAAAAACTGTTCTTCTGATATTTTTTCTATACATCAAATAATCCTTAAAAAACATTTTTATCATGGCTTCCACAAAACTATTAATAATGTTTCTTGAGCAGCAAATCAGCATATGAGAATGATTTCTGAAGGATCATGTGACACTGAAGACTGGAGTAATGATGCTGAAAATTCAGCTTTGATCACAGGAATAAATTATATTATAACAGTAAAATACAAAACACTTATTTTAAATTGTAATATTATATCACAATATTACTGTTCTTACTCTATTGTTCTACTCTATGCACACACATTTTATATATATATATATATATATATATACATAGTACGTAGTACAAATTTACAAATATGCCATTTATATATAAGTATATTTGAATGATGAAATGATTGAAATTGCTTCATTGTCCACAAAATGTGGAATGCATGAACAGCACCAATAAGTGTTGCTGTTTATAACTTTGTAATGTCTATAGTGTGATCTGTATATGGCAGACAGTTAGACTGACAGACTGCACGTGGAAATCTAGGCACGCTCCATTGCCGCTGCTGCAGCCAGTCTCACGAGCACAATTCATCAGTCCCTGCCCCTTTATGTGACACAGGCGAAATATGTTTTAAAAAGTCAGCCGGGAACGGAAGAGTGTGTGCGAGACAGAAATACAGGGCATGAATGCAAAGAATAAAGCATGCCAGTGTTTGGTATGCAGTCATCTCTCTCTCTCCCCCCTCTCTCTCTCTCTCCCCTCTTTCTCTCTCTCTCTCTCTCTCTCTCTCTCTCTCTCTCTTTACCTCCGAGCTGATCTAATGATTCATGGAGCTACATCGAGCTGCTTGTCGGAGATCAATCATCTTGGTCGGAGCTTTCTGCCGATTGTTTGAGTAGGGGGCCATTAGAGAGAACTGTTTGGAAGTGTTTTGTGAACCTATGTATGAAGTGTCAGCATGGCAGGCTATTGAAACAGGCTTATTGTTGCCTCTCTCTTTGTCCCACTGCATGTTTCTCTCCATTTTTTTTTTCTCAAGCTTTGCAGGCATTTTTTTAGGACTCGGAAAAATCACATTTTCCTGATATGAGCTTTCTCTTCATATCTTTGTTCTTTTCTTTGTCACTAAATATGTTAAATAAATTAACTAAATATGTGTTTATATATATATTAGTTTGAAATATATTTCTTTTAAAACATGTATGTATGTATGTATGTATGTATGTATGTATGTATGACAGAACTGGAGAGGATCTGCAAGGAGGAATGGCAGAGGATCTCCAAATCCAGGTGTGAAAAACTTGTTGCATCTTTCCCAAAAAGACTCATGGCTGTATTAGATCAAAAGGGTGCTTCTACTAAATACTGAGCAAAGTGTCTGAATACTTAGGACCATGTGATATTTCAGTTTTTCTTTTTTAATAACTCTGCAAAAATGTCAACAATTCTGTGTTTTTCTGTCAATATGGGGTGCTGTGTGTACATTAATGAGGGAAAAAAATTAACTTAAATGATTTTAGCAAATGGCTGCAATATAACAAAGAGTGAAAAATGTAAGGGGGTCTGAATACTTTCCGTACCCACTGTATATAATAAGCTATTATTTTTTATAATTTATTATTAGATTATTTGTTGTCCAATTATGTACTTAGACAAGTAGGTCTGTTTATATTTTTGCAGCTGAGCAACAGTAGGGATTTGTGACAATTTTAAAAAGGAAGAATTTTCTGAACAGAAAAGTGTGTGTTTGCGTGTGTGTGTGTGTGCGCGTTTCTCCCTGCAGGCAGAGATCGTGAAGAGATTAAATGGGATCTGTGCTCAAGTCTTGCCTTACCTGTCTCAAGAGGTACAGAGAGAGAGATACCAGTGTTACCTCAACATATAGTTTATAGCATTACGCCTCGTCTCAAACACTAACAGATAGTCTGATTTGTCATCTTATTCATGATATTGCAGATTTGTTCATACATAACTGATTTGAACAGGCTGGGGATGTAAAGATTTCACTATTAAATCTATGGGTTCAGTGCATTATTTTGGAGGGCAGGTATTTATAGTGTAAATGCATGATTATGTTTGCATAATGATAGTAATGTGAGTGTGAATACTGTACAAGATGTGATCTGTGTGTCTTTTTCAGCACCAGCAGCAGGTTCTGGGGGCGATAGAGAGAGCCAAACAGGTCACCCCACCAGAGATGAACTCCATCATACGGGTAAACTGTCTTTCTGTGTGTGTGTGTGTGTGTGTGTGTGTGGCTCATGTGGGTGCACACAGGTTTATACAGTAGGCTATGCTTATGGAAATGCATCTGCATTGGTTGATGGCAGTCTAATTATCTTTAAAGAAATGCATTATTAATACTTTTTGTGCATTGCTGCTGTAAGGACTATTTAATGGTAATTATTGCGTTTATATGGCTCTAAATTTGTTCATTCTGTCTCTTTTAAATTTCAGTTTCAATTTGACATGCTTTATTGGCATGACAAAATCTGTACATTTACAGTGGTGTGAAAAGGTTTTTGCCCCCTTCCTGTTTTTAATAAAAAAAAACAGGAAGGGGGCAAAAACGTTTTCCACCACTGTACATTGCGAAAAGATTTGCAGCATTTGCTTTGTACATTTGAAAATAATGCAAAATAAATATAAAACAATGCAAAAACAAGTAATACTACCCATACAATTATAAAATAAAATAACCAATAGAATAAGGGGGGTACGAGAGGTCATACAATGTAATTATTTTATATTATTAAATACAACAGAAAATGATATTTTCTTAATCAAATAACAGCTTTTATTAAATATCACCAATATAATTCAAAAAGTACCAATGTTCAATAAATAACTACATTTATTAATATTAATAAAAAAGTAATCACAGTAAACCGTTATTCCACCAAGTAACGTAGGTCAGATAGATTCACTCCCATTCAAATGCTTGTGGTCAGTTATATAGTGAGCTGTTTTATATTTTAAAATGTAATTTATTCATGTGATGGCAAAGCTGAAATTTCGGCTGCCACTAGAATAGAAGGAAAAGCATTTATTTGAAATATAAATCTTTTTGTAACAAATAAAAGTCATACTTTAGAGCTGAAACTATGTTTTATAGTAATGTAATGAGAAGTAAACTAAGAAAGTTAACACTTTATTTTAAGGTGTCCTTGTTACACGTTACATGTGTATGCATAATTACATGCAAGTAAGCCTAAACCTAACCCTAATCTTATAGTAAGTACATGTAGTTACTTAACATTACTCAGTACTTAAATGTGTAATTACACTGTAACAAGGGCACCTTAAAATAAAGTGTAACCGAAAGTTACTATGTTGGTAACAACACTGTATGTGTGTGTTCTGTAGCAGCAGCTCCAGGCTCACCAGCTCTCTCAGCTGCAGGGGCTGGCCTTGCCCATGACCCCTCTCCCTCTCGGCCTCAGCCAATCGGCCGGCCTCCCCGCCGTCACCTCCAGCTCTGGCCTCTTCTCCCTCTCCAGCATCCTGGCCTCTCAGGCCCAGCTGGCCAAGGAGGATAAGAGCACACGCGAGACCTCCGACAGCCACCGTGAGGAAGACGGAGACAAGTCCGACTAGTCGCCCGCCAAACCCGTTCCTTCATTTGATCATCCTCCAGAGCTCCACATAGAGCAGAGGCACTTGTTTCCCTGTTTTTTCACCTTTTTATTTTCCTTCGTTTTCCAATCTCCTTCCAACTTTCTATCTAAATTGCTACTGTGCTCACAATTCTAATGTCATTCTTTCTGGTTCATTCCACCAGCTCTCTATATGTATTTATACCAATCCACCTTTTTATTGTGTTACGGATGCTTGATTTTATTTTATTTACACTATTTTTGCCTGCGTGTATGTATATATCTATATATATATTGTATATTTCTTATGCTCGTTGTGGAAATGGTCTACAAAATGGTGTGACCGTTAATGGACCATCGACCCTTCAGTAATAATTCCTCTTTGTTTTTTCCCTCCCGCTCACTCTCTTCCTCTTAAAATCTCTCACCTTTTAAAACTACAATCTACAATAACTGAGTCAAAAGCACTTTGGCCCCAGGCAGTAACTCTGAGACTAAAAGCAACTTTGAATCTAAAAACTTAGCCGCGGCATAATCCATTTAGAGTTTAAAGGGTCAGTGTTATTGTTTGAAGGCACGGCTGTTGCATCTGTCCTACCTTAAAGGGACAGTTCAAGTTAAACTGAGGATTTATTTCATTTTTATGTCATCTCAAAGCTGTTTGACTCTATTTCTTTTGTGGAACACAAAAGGAGATATTTTGAAGAAGGTTCATGCTGCTCCTTTTCATTCAATAAAAGCGAATGGTTACCACAGCCGTCAAGCAAAATTTCTAATAAGTAACTTCAATTTCTTAAGTTTCTCATGCAACGGCTTCAGAACACTTGGAGTATAGTACATTCATAAACATGTCATATGGACTAATTTAGTTTAACTCTGTCAAAAAGAAAAAAAGAAAAATAATAAATAATCAAAAACTATTCCATATGATTCATGTATTATATTCCAAATGTTCTGAAGCTGTTTGTGTGAGAAACAGACATTAAAAGATACATTTAAGTCATTAATCACTGGAAATTTTGCTTGATAGATGTGGTCGCTGTATGGAAAAGAAGAAAGTTGAAAGTCACAAGGGTTTGGAATGACCTTAGGATGAGTAAATGATCCTTACGTCAGTCCAAACCTGTTTGACTTAATTTCTTGTGTGGAACACAAAAAGAGACATTTTGAAGAATGTTCATGCTGCTCATTTCCACACAATAAAAAGTGAATGGAGTCCAAAGCAGTCAAGAACAAAAATCACCATAAAAGCCTCACAAAACTAATCCATATGCCCTCATGTACTATATTCCAAGTGTTCTGAAGCTGTTTGTGCGAAAAACTTAAGAGATTTCAATAATTATTTACTGGAAATTTAGCTTGATAGATGTGGTCACCATTCACATTCATTGTAAGAAAAGAGCAGCTTGGACATTCCTCAAAATGTCTCCTTTTGTGTTTCACGTAAGAAAATAAGTCATACAGGTTTGGAAGGACATGAGGGTGAGTAAATAGTGACAGAATTTCCATTTTAGAGTGAACTATCCCTTTAAACTGCTTGATGAGTAGTATTGAAAGAAGAAAGAACATTTGTACTAGGCCCTTCAGCGTACTGTATATCTATCTACCTGTTTGCCTGATTTCTAATGTGTTTGGAAGCTGTTGTGCTGTCTTAGAGAATATTAGATGAATCCTCTGAGATGCTAGCTAACCTCCTCACCAAGTGAAAAGGAATGCTGTTTAAAAGATTTTTTCAGTCTTTTTTATAGTAATGTCGATTGTCTACATGGTGAGAGCCATATTGTTTTCCTTTGAAGGTAAGTTGTGAGAATAAGGTATTTGAGAAGTGAGAAGCACCTTTAAACATTTTTATTCGTCGTTTTGATAGCACTACAGAAACAGGAAGTATGTGTAGTAGTATGATTTATAACAAGACCTCCCAACAAAGACAAAATAACTTTTTAGCACAATACGTTACCTTAAGTGGACTTAAGGTAAAAGCTAAGATTTGCCGTTTTGAATATTCAGTCTCCCAGTGTCATGTTGTATTATGTAGTATGTGATTCTACCAAGAGGGGGCAGTAAGTCCATAGCAAGTCCACACTAACACCCTCAGGGTCACTTTAGTGTCCAATGTTGGTTTTTGCAAACATATAATATATGCTTCTTTTGACCTGCCCAAAAATAAATAATTCGTATAACGTTTGTTCAGTCTGGAGTAAGCATCAAGAAAAAGATTTTCTCAAAGAGCTTTTTGTGTTTTTTCGTATTGAAACAGTGATTTGCAACTATAGCAGTATTCTAGTCATAGATTGTGTCACATTTTCATGCCAAAGTACACATCACACTTTATCCTCTCGGTTTTCTCGGTCTGAAAATATAAACCAGACTTTTCACACCTTTTTTTTTCTTTAAGGTCTGTAATTTTGTGGATGCTTCAGATTTGGTTGGTCCAAATTTTACATTAATGGACACCTTCTATAACGTAGACACAGCGAAACCATATCGGATTCAGGAGTGAAGCTGCTTCCTAATGTGTCTTAATGGGACAGTGCACCGCTTTTCAATTAAATGTCAAAATGAAACCGTGCCAACATAAGAAATGTCAATGAAAGGCCATCTGATGATATCGTAGTGCTTTCAAAACAAATCTGCTCTTTTTTTTTTTTTTTTTTTGGAAAACGTTTTTAGTTTGATTCTGCCAGTGTATTTATGCAAGAAGTGCCAGGATTTATCCTCGTGGCTTCCTACATATGCTCAAATCTATTCTGTTGACATTTTTCTTTTTAAAGTAAGGACAAAAATGTAGTGGTCGCTGCGTACGCATTAAGAGTTCAGAATCAGATCTAGCCAAATGCGAAGTGTTTTGCTATAAAGGTGTAAGTTATACATAGACCTAAAGCTTTATGTGCAAATGGATGCTTTTGTGTCAGTCTTGAATGATACATCTGTGTTTTAGGACTCTTAACTCACGAGGCACTTAAGAACAGGTTGTCGACCCTTCCTTTCTTTCTTAAACCCCTGACAGCCGTCTCCTCCCAGAATTCCTTGCTTGCCTTTTGCCATTTGTTAAAAGCATTGTAAGCATTCTGTGCTATAAAAGTCTTTTTGTTTGTTTTTCAACTCCTAATTTTATGTATATTGTACAACCTACAGTGCAAAAATAATTGTGTTATAAAATAGCTTCATTCCATATTAAAACAAAGTACATAATCATTTACTATACAAAAATTGAAATTTCTGCAGTAAGGAAATGCTTCTGGTGCCTTACAAATAAAATCAATCAAATCAATGTAGAAGGTCAGTGTTTTTATTTTGTTGTTTGTATGCTTGTGGGAATTAACATTGCCGTTATGAAGTAATATTTTTCTGACAATGTTTGGAATCTTCCAACAGCCTTGTTGATGAATAATTTCTACGTAAAGTTTTGGTTATTGCACATGTAACACTCGTTAACTAATACAAAATTTCATACTTAATTTTATTGTCATGTTGGATTTTAGGCCATATATACAGTGGGGGAAAAAAGTATTTAGTCAGCCACCAATTGTATGTTAGGGGTGCCCCCGAATAGTCGAAGATTCGCGGGGTGTATGATCATGCCATTTTGGCTATATGGGGGTGCTCAAATGTCTGGTTTCACATAGAACTACCGGTTTTCTCCCAATAAGTTAATATACAGCCTATTAAAATAATGCTGTAAATAAGAATCTGAAAAGAAAGAAGCTTCAAATAAATATTTTAACGTTCGGGAATAAATCCAACCACCCCTATAGATTTAAGTTTCACTTTCCATAATCCGTGACTGACAGAGAAGCATCTTGGTGGCAGGGATTTAAAACTTCACCAAGACTCGAACTGACACAGGCAGAGGGAGATACTGGGTTTTTTTTCAAATGTCTGGTTTCACATAGAACTACCGGTTTTCTCCCAATAAGTTAATATACAGCCTATTAAAATAATGCTGTAAATAAGAATCTGAAAAGAAAGAAGCTTCAAATAAATATTTTAACGTTCGGGAATAAATCCAACCACCCCTATAGATTTAAGTTTCACTTTCCATAATCCGTGACTGACAGAGAAGCATCTTGGTGGCAGGGATTTAAAACTTCACCAAGACTCGAACTGACACAGGCAGAGTGAGATACTGGGTTTTTTTTCCGATCAGGTAGGGTACAAGTGATTTCAAAACATTTCAGCCGGTTTATATATATCGTGTATATATTATTTATCTCGTATAAGATGCATTTGGTTGAGTTGCAGCACAAACAACAATGCAGAATATTAATAACTATGACTGGTGTAAAATAATGCAAGATACCGACACTGCTTTCAAACGTTCAGTCCAGCTTTACTTCTTTTACTGCAGTGCACACATGCATGAGGAGGAGGAGCCTATGCTAATTCCGAGTCACTGAGTCCGGAGTGTTTCTTAAAGACGCACTGACCAAATGACAATACATTACATCTCCCCTCCTCAGCAGAAAATATTCCGACATAACTACTACAAATATATATACACCCATTATGAATGTTAAACATCTGACTGCTATTTTTTTCTTTCTTTTTTCAAACTGCAGATAACATGCAAAACAATCAAATAAAACATAAACAAAAGATTTAGCACACATTATGCGTAAAATTTGCAGTTAATGATGCATGTAACAATAACAATGAACAGTCAAGCATCATCACATCTATCTTGGAAGGAGAGGTTACCAGCACGTCACTTCCACAAGGTGTCTTTACCACACCTTTCCCTAACTATAAGCAGAGCCTGTTTGGAGGCTTCACAATTCTGCCCCGCCTGGTGACATACTGTCCAGCTGGCAGTGTTTGTTTGCCAGATGAAAGCTCTTTAGGCAGTGATTGGGGCAAACTAGAGTGGTCAACAGGTCCAAACTCTTCATCACTCAATGTCTCTGATATTTCAGTCCAGTGTTCATTGTCAGACCTGTGACGGGCCTCATTGGCTTTTGCTGTGCTTTTGCGAAGATGCTGAATGTTGCGACGGTACTCCTTACCTCCGCAGTCTACAACATAAGATCTTGGAGCACAATGCTGTCTCACAATGACACCAGGAGACCACTTATGATTTCCAGGATATGGTTGCATCCTTACTTCATTTCCAGGATTCAGAGCAGGTCGAGGACCACTTGCCCTCTTGCGGTCAAGGTAGAACCTTTGGATGATTTTACTTTCGTCCAGTCGATGTTTCACTTTAAGAGGGTCATAAGCACTTGATGTGAGCAACTGCCGAGCAGCAGGCAGGTTGTTACGGGGCCGTCTGCCCATTAGCAGCTGCACTGGTGACAGGCCTACTGACTCTATCGGCCTTGTCCTGTAGTCGAGTAGAGCAAGATGTTTGTCTGTTGCCTTGCACCAGCCTGGCCAGTATAAGACCTCACGAGCTCTCTGTTTGCTCTTAACTATCCCTTAGTGAGACTGGTGTACAAGCTTCAGCATATCATTTTGCATGGAAGGAGGTACTACTATACGAAGGCCTTTTTAGATGACGCCATCAGCTATGGCAAGCTGACTTCGAGAGTCCCAATACGGTTGGACAACTGTGGCTGCATCGCATCTATGGTTTGGCCACCCTTGCTGTATCATTTGTTGGAGGGCGCTGAGCTCATTTTCCGTGCGCTCTTGGAGCACTGAGTATCTCTGCTCACTAACAGAGACAAAACTGAGCATAGAGATACACTCCAGGCCTTCAATTTCTGACTTTTTCTCGGGTAGTTGTGCTCTAGACAATGTGTCAGGCAGCTCTATGTCTTTCCCTCGCCTGTATCTGACTGTCAGGTCATACCACTGGAGTTGAAGATGCATTCTTTGTATGCGCATGGGGGTTGAGAGGAGTGGCTTCTTATAAATATCTTCCAGAGGCTAGTGGTCATTGTACACCGTGACATGGTTTCCAAAGATGAAATTGTGAAACTTTGTACAGGAGTGAACTATTGAGAGCATCTCCTTCTCAATTTGCGCGTAGCGTGTTTCTGTGTCCGTCAGCGATCGTGATGAGAAGGCAACTGGATGATCTTCCTGCAGTAGGACAGCACCCAAGCCGCTGCTGCTGGCATCATAGAAAATTTCGACAGGCTTAGACGGATCAAAGAATTTTAGCACTGGGGACTGTGTGCATAAGTCTTTCAATTTGTCAAAGGCTTGTTGCTTTGCCGGCTGCCATGCATACTCAACATCAGTCTTTAGAAGCTGCCGCAGAGGAGCATCCACCTTACTGAGATTTGGCAAGAACTTTGACAAGTAGGTAACAAAGCCTAGGAAGCGACAGACACCATCCTTGTTTGTTGGCGCTGGCATGGACTTAACAGCTTCGATTTTAGCTGGGTCTGCCTTTAGACCCTCAGCTGTGATTAGGTGTTCCACATATTGCACAGAAGATTGCTTTATGTGGCATTTGTCGAAGTTGAGGCTCAGATTGTAACTTGTGGCTCTCTGAATT